CCGATGCTCTTCTATTGATCTTCGCATTATTCATGCCATAATGAATAATGAACCTTTAGATTGGGGTGTTCTTGTCAAAATGACAATGTTAAAGGCCAAACGTCATCCAACATTCAAAATTCCATATGCTCTTCTTGTATCCCGAATTCTTGAATATAAAGGAGTCAATGTCGAAGGTGAACAAGTTGTCCGAACTAATAACTTGAACCGCATGCTAGACGAGCACATTGATTCATCTCCAAATGGTGCGGGTAAATGACATCTATGTTCACAAAGATGACGTCCAAAATCAAGGTGATGCAATTGAAGACTACGATGAAGATATGCCTCCAGCGGTGAGTTTCCCTCTACCCAAATCCAAAGTGTTGGAACTTCCTCGTCACATCAAGAAACAAGACAATCCATGGAAGATATGCTTTCAGACATGAATCAAAGAATGCAATCATTCTTCAATCTTTACGGGGTACGGCATGATGAAATTATTCGCCGTATATCCGATGTAGATGATAGAGTGGGTAGATTAGAAAATAGATTTGATACTCACTTTAATGATGAGGATAGTGAAGAGTTTTAGATTTTATTTTGTTAATATCTTTATATTGTAATGAATGAATGATTATGAAATAAAATTTGATGTTTCTTTCATGCTATGATTGAGGGGGAGCTTTCTCTAACTTATGCATATTTTGAGGGGGAGCTCTTATGATTGATGTTGCAGTGTTCTTTTTGATTATAATCAAAATAGGGGAGAAAAATTTAAAGCCTCTTATGAATTAAATTTATATGTTATCTGGTATGTTTAATGTGTTTGTTAAGTATGACGGATAAAACAGGTTATTACAAGGGCTTTAAAAAGATAATTTTGATCATCATCAAAAGGGGAGATTGTTGAACATTCAAGGACTTGATGTTGCAAATAATGATCATGAAGAATGTTGATTTTGATGATGATCCAAGAGCTTAAAGACTTAAAGTATTGAAGATTGAAGATTGATGATTTACGTATTGTAATAACTCTGTTTTAGTTTGATTAAGTCTCGTAATTATAGAGTCTAAGATAGCCGGTACATAGTCCGTAACTTAGAAGCTTCAAAATGCTCAAATTTATCATGCAGGCTCGGCTTTAATCGATTATATAGGGAAATAATCGATTAAAACAGTGAGAAAACCATTTTCAGCATATACTCACTTGTTTTAATCGATTAAAACATCAAAATAATCGATTAAAAGGTCAAATAATCGATTATTTCACCAAATAATCGATTAATCCGAAGAGGTTTGGGTTCTGACGTATTTGGCTCTGTTTTAATCGATTATTACTCCAAATAATCGATTATTTCGATCTGTTTCGATTTTAAACTTCAAACAAACCCTATTTTCGAAAACCCAATTACCAAGAACCCTAGTTTCGAAATCCCCAATTCCTAAACCCTAATTTCCCTACTTAAACTCTGCTTTGGCACTCAGAAAAAGAAGAACAACTCTTTCCATACAAAAGTTAAGTGCTTGTGAGTGCCGAGAAGCTGTTTGTTGCAAGGAAAGGGGGCTTTTGGAAACTCGGTGTGAGGCTAGAAGCGATAAGAATCACTAAGTGGAGTTCTTAGTGGATTGAGTGCTTGTGCTCGTCTCCGGGAAAAGCTGTTCTTCGGGGCTTTTGGAAACTTGGTGTGAGGCTAGAAGCGATAAGAATCACTAAGTGGAGTTCTTAGTGGATTGTGTCTTTGTCGTAGTCTCCGAGGAAAAGCTGTTTATCATCTCTTGTGGATTTCAAGAGAGGTTTTATCTTTAACTTTATCTTTTTCATTATAATTTGTGTTGTAACAACTTTGTTCTTAGTGACAGCGTTAATCCTCTTTTGAGTGATTAGCAATCGGACGTAGGGTCTTTTGATCCGAACCAGGTATAAACCTATTGTGTAATCTTCTCTACTCTTCTCTATTTACATTTACGCAGTTTTTAATCGGTAAAATTTGGGGAAAATTTTGAAAACCTAATTTTTATTAAGTAACCAATTCACCCCCCCCTCTTGGTTTTTGTCCGACCACGCGAACATTCCGCTGCGCGATTCTAACAGAGAAGACTCTATCTCTCAATCTCAGTATGTCCAGGTAATTGAGAGCTTATTGCATTTAATGAGCTTTTCTAGACCTGACATTGCTTATGCAGTAGGTAGACTATGTAGGTATACTCAATGTCCTAATTAAGATCATTGAAATGTACTTGCAAGACTGATACTTAAGAGGTTCAATGAATTATGTCATTGAATATAGTGGATTTCCCGTTTACTAGAAGGGTATAGTGATGTTAAGTGGATCTTTGATTCAGATGAGACATACTAGTGGTTATGTATTTACACTCGGGGGTGGTGCGATTACATGGAAATCAGCCAGACAAACAATTATGGCAAGATCAACAATGAAATCTGAATTTGTTGCTCTCGAAATAGTTGGTAGTGAAGCTGAGTGGTTGAAAAACTTCTTAGCAAATATTTCATTAGGAATGAAACTGATCCCGTCTGTATCAATTTACTGCGATTGTCAATTGACAATAGCTATAGCTAAATATAAGAATTACAATGGAAAAAATAGACATATACAATTAAGACATAATTTAATGAAGCAGCTGCTAAAAAATGAAACAATTTCTATTGATTATGCGAAGTCAGAACAAAATCTAGCAGATCCTCTAACAAAACTCTTAACGAAAAATATGATTTTAGAAACATCGAGGGGAATGAGACTTAAGCCACTTGCAAACAAACAGGTGATGGTAATTCAACCTTTGTGATTGAAGATCGCATGAATTAAGTTTATATGGGTAAAAACAAGTCACTTGTTAGTTCTACTAGCATTAAAATGGATTAAAATCAATTATGCTTATTCGTATGATGTATATGTGAAAGTGTTAGATACTGCATCTTTGTGATGTTAAACTTTGTAATTAAAATTCTATGTGGTATACGAATTTTATTCTAAACAAAATTTTTAACGATTTCATATCCCTTACAGGTAGTGTATGATTTGTAGCATAAGCTTGATGAAGTCACCTATATGAGTGTCTAGTGAGGCCGTTTGTATGCGATCTTTGCAAGATTTTTAGAGCACTCATGAATACCGGGTACGTGCATGACCTAGTAAGTGCAACACAAGGATAACAACAAGAATTGTGGGAGTGTATTGTGATTATTAAACCGCTAACCCACACTAAGTGTTTTGGTTCATATAGCTTGTTACACCAATTACACTGTGTGTTAAGTTTTCAGTCTAGTTGGTTCATATAGCTTACTATACTAGCTCTGATGCATTATATCTTATATGAGACTCAAGATTTTCTCTTTCTTATTTTTGCAATATGTGGGGATTATTATGAAACTGTAGAAAAACAAGGAACACACTCCCACACATTGCAGAAAACGTTACAGACTCACTACCAAGTCTTTGTCTAACTGTTGCAGATTTTCTCCTTATTTCATGACACTTCCTAAGTATTGGGGGGTGAGGTGGTTACTGTGGATTTTTTGGATGTAGGTAGTTAGGGTTTGGATCCAATCTACACCTATAAATAGATACTACTTCACACTATTCCAAAACACACTTCTCTCTCATCTTCTATTCTCTATTTTCTTCGTGTTCTATTATTGTCCTCTTTTAAGAGTTTTTTTTATAGTTTCTGATATCCTTGGAAATTTTGAGAAGTTCCTGTTGTATCTGGGGGACTTGCGCAATATACCGTGAATAAATTTTTAAGGACAGTGATTAAACACGCCTCAGGAATGCGAATAAATTCTTAAGGATAGTGATTAGACACACCTCAGAAATAAAGTTTGTTCGTGTCTCTGTCAGTTTTTATAATACAAATTTGGTTACAACTTAAGATGAATATAAGGGTTTTTACACAAATTTTTACATTACATTAGAGTTAGTATCGGGAAAAGATAATATTGAAAGACCAAAGTAATATAGAAGTGCTCGGTTCTCCAATGAATTGACTCCCAATAATACCTACAACTTCTCCTAATTCCACTAAGTGAGGATGGTAGGACTTTGATCTTAATACAATCCACATATCCAAAATGTATTCTACGTATAAAAGGAGGAGTTCGTGTTCGTATATTAGTTGTCTTTTCACAATAAGAGAGTATAAGCCCAAAACAAAGCAAGCCCAACAATAAATTAAAGCCAGACATAAAAAAAAGTTAAAAAAACAGCAGACAAAACTACTTTAGTGAACAAGATGATGGCCTGAACAACCAGAACATCCAAAAGTAGCAGACAAAAATAAAAATTTAATAATTATGCATGTCAATTAAAATTATAGTAACTTTTAAAATGTTTACTGATAGACTATTTTCTCTGAAAACAGTGCTAAAGGCAGCCGCAAAGCATAGGAAAAATACATGGATTAAGTTGAGCTCAACGTTCTTCTAAACATATTGTGCCATGTGGAAGCATCGGTTACAGTTTTGGTTTATAATTTTGTATTTAAAATGGTGTTCTTGTTTTGTTTTGTTTTCTGTTTTTAATATTTTATCCTTAAAATTTGAAGAACCAAAAAAAAAAAAAAAAATCTGAATTTCTGTTCCTGCTTTTGAGTTGTCTGTCAATGTCTACTCTTTTGGCTGTGATCACCCACAGCATTTTAGATCATTCATTCTCAATTAGCTGAAAATTTAGAAACTCTATCACAATAGGGATCATAAAGAACTATTTTATACGTACTTGTATAACATTAATTAAAATAGTAATCTTTACTTATTATTTAACTCAACATTCAACATCATCAACAAACCCAAACTTTTTCAAACAACATTGTTTCATCTTTTGTTTTTCTCTTCTTCCCATTTTCCATGCTCTCCCCTACTCACATTCTCCATCCACTCACAGATATTATTTGGAAATAATCAATCCCAACATCATTGCTAACACAACAAAAATCAGATATATAGAAAACAAGCACGTATCGTATAAAATGTTACTCCAAGCTAATGCAATGATAGTGGTCTATGAATGAGAGGGAGGCCAGTTTCCAAACCACGGGTGTTGAAAGTACTTTGGAGGTTCCATCTTGGGAATTAGAGGTGGGCATGGGTTCTTCTTGAATGGGAGAGGAGGAAAGAATTTGAAAAATGGTGGCATAGTAGGAGAGGGCTCAGAAATGGGAGTAGGAGGAGGAAGAGGCTTGTAAATGGGAGTGGGAGAAGGTGTCTTTTCCTTTGGTGGGTTTGGCTTGACAACGGGAGATGGAGTACTGGTAGGAGGTTTTTTATATGATGGTGTTGGAGGTTTCTTATACACTGGGACAGGAGGAAGAGGGTCTTTTGGGTGGTCATCTTTAGGGGGGAAGGGGAATTGAGGGTGTTTGAAAAAATGCCAGAAAAAGGCTGAAGTGCACATAGCTGATGAGAACGTGAGTTTCCCAGCAGCAGGACCTAGGGTGTGTGTGTGTTCAGATACTGACTTAGTCACAATTTTGGAGTTTCCGTGGGAAGGGCAAGGTTCAGCTGATGCACTATGCAGCTGAGCGTAGCAATCTTCTTTTAGCTCACCATCTTCTACCATGTCTTGTGGAAGGGATACTTTGAAGTTTCCATATTCATCAAGCGCGCCCACCCCTCTCGTCCTGAAGCGTCCATGAGGTGACATGCAATTTACCGCTACACGTAGCCCTACACACAAGTAATGCACAGGATTCTCATACTGTAGAATTTGGCTTCATACTATACTAGGATTAAATACAAGGTTAAAACCAGTAGTTTATTATTCTAATTATTACATTAACCATGTACTAACATAGCATTAGACAAGGTACCTGAGAAAGCGTGACTTGTCTTAATATTGTTGTGGGTGCAGTCTGCGCATTCTCCTAGGCCAACAACCTGGACTGTCCTGTGGTCTTCGTAGTTGGAGCCTCTTACCACAAAAAACACAGACAAGAAGCAGAAGCAGAAGCAGACTAGTGCTCCATGGCGGTGGATGAACATTTGCATTGGGAATTGCAGTTACGAATCCCAATGGCAAGAAAGAAGAAGCAGATGAAGGAATAAGGCAGAGTTGGAAGTGAGAGATGAAAGGTGGAAGCAGATGGAGATTGGTGAGCTCAATTTATAGCAATCACATTCGTAAATGGATGGCTTACTCACTCTGAATTTAAGCGCCTCACGCAGTCAGGTGGGGCTACGTTCAGGGACGCTTCCACGCCAATGTGTGTTCTTCTTTACTTTAATTTAATATATACTATACACATTAAATACTGTATAAATCATCCAATATCCATTGTTTACTATACTTTGTTTTTAGAGTTTCACTTTGTCATGATATAACATTTTTTCTTTTCTCTTTTAACTATATGAAAACAAATTAGTTTAGTTTAGTTTAGTTTATTTTAGAATAGAATTGATAAAAATTTCATAAAGAAAAATATGGTTAAAAGTATAACATCTTTTTATTATAAATTCACTTATGTTACATTTTAATGCTTATATTTTTATTGTATTTAAAAAACATCAAAATTTAATATTTATTTAATTTTGACCCAACTTTCGTATCCTGTTCCGATCGAGGCTTGGATGTTTAATGGGAAATGATATTAACGTGCAAACAAGCAGCAAATGGCTTTATTTATGATTGAATGCATCAGCCTCACCCACATGCTAAATGCATCTTTATAGCCAATATCTGTCTCAACCTACCAAATAGCTCTAATAAATCACTCCTATAAAACTAAACAGTTGGACTGGGCAAAAGTGATTAATATCTTGCATTATATATATATATATATATATATATATGTACTAACTAAATTAGATTAGTTTAAGATCTAATCTTAAAACACCCGTGTACACAATATCTGTACAAAGAATCACTTATACATTGCTGGTTAAAATGTATGTAAAGCCCATCAAATGAGGTGACATGTACTCTACAATTGAAATTTTTTCTTAAATATACTTAGTGTGTTGCTAATGAACATATGTGTTCTCGTCGAAAAAGGGTGGGGCTGCTTGTACAAATTTATGTTACATTGATTTGCACATTTAAGATAAACCACCATGGATCCACTTTCATACATCAACCAACAAACTTTTACGACACGCCATCAAATCGAGAGATTTAATCGTTCCCATATATATGACCACAGATGCATGTGTTATCCAAAATTGATGAACAGACATCACTATTGTCCTTAGTAATGTTTAACTGTGGGTCTCCCTTAAACCATGTGAAGCATCACATGGATTTAATTGAAGAAAAACTGAGAGCGCTGGAACGTGGAGTTGCTTTGCTATGTACTTAATTTTTCTGCCAGAAAACATAAACGCTATCGTGTCATTGAATTATAATATTATAATTTAAATTATAAAAATTAATTAATTTTAAATTATTAATTATAATTTATTATTTTAACATAAAAATATAATATTTTTTAATTTATCTAATAAAAATTTACAATTATTTATATAATTAAAGATATATTTTTCAAAAAATACATGTAAAAATATTATTGATTAGCTAACCGTTAACGTGCCAACTTACTTAATAAAATAGATTGAATTGAAATGGAACAAAACAAGATGAATTCACCTGTTAAGGAGAGGGGAGGTATTGTCTTTCGTGGCACCATTGAAGACCTAGATTATGGGTTGGTAATTGCAACCCGTAATGTGTCATTTCCAATTTTTAGAATTTCACCATTGCTACAAAAATGTTGTGTTAAACAATGTTCATCTCTTTAAAATTTAAAACTATTAGCTCTAGTGTTTTATTCATGGTCATTGTAAAATATTTTTCTTTGGTTTAATCTCGTTAAAATTCAAAATCATTATTTTAGTTTTCATAAATCATTTTAAGGTAAACAAGCAATATTTATTTTAAGAATTTATTTTGTAAAGTCGATGTGTTAACAACTGCCACACGATGATACGAATTAAAAAAAAGGAAAATATATACATTTAATTTCTTTGCTCGATTTAGATGAAAGAATCTTATAACAAATATATATACTTAAAGAACATATTAAACAAAATCTCTTCTCGTTTATAACAACGCGTTAAGTCATATTTAACTAGTTAATTTTAAAAACAATATGCACAAATGCATGACTCAGTGACTAAAAACAAGTATAAATAAATGATCAGAATTAAAGAAAAAAAAAAAAACACGAACATGAATCTTGAATAACCAGGATCATGACGACTATGCATGCATATGTATGTTTGCATCTTCGAATGTGTGTTGAAGTGGGTAATTTGGTAGACCTCCAATCCTTCTCAATCACAAGATACCTTGCCATGTACTTGCAATACCACGAACTGGTTTATATGCTGGTTGGACGTCTCATCAGCTATACACTCAAAGAATATGTGCGAAAACCAAACTTATATATACGAGAAACGTGGAAGCTAGTGGGTTGTGCCTGCGATTGTGAGAGAGTGTTGGTTACAAGAAAATGGATTACTTGTGCCCGAAGAGAAGGGGTCCAGAATGGAAAGTGAGAGGGAGTATGGGCAATGTTTCTGCACCTCGAGGCCGTTTGCTCACCGTATTTGCCATTGTCATTGCCTTGTTGTCCTTCTCCCATTACAAAGACTACAAGGCTCAGCTCCATAGCACAGCCGTCAACTTTCACCTATTCCTCTTCTTCTTGCCCCTCCTCCTAATAATCTTCATCCTTTCATATTCTACTACTGCCGCAAGCCTCAACTTTAACTTCAACGCATTCACACCATGACTCCACCTGGGGTTACTTCGTACAACCCAGTAACGTTTATGTTCCAATATTTTCTATTTCTTACACTACCACTTCATTGTAATATGTAACCCCCGCCTGCGGTTACTTTTTATTGTCTCAACAAACATGTCTAGGTCTTAAGATTTGTCTTGGAGTACTGAATTTTACTTTCCCTGTATAACTTATTATTTCTTACTCTGTTTTCAAAATCTTATTGTTAAATTAAAATTATAGAAACAGTTTTAGTCCTGGGGAAAAAAGGTTACTCCTTGAAATCCTATTTAAACAATGATCAAAGTTACTTTAAGAATAAAATATTCAAAAGATGGTTTGTCATTAATATGGAGGACTAGTGATAGATAATGACTTTTAAATTAAAACTTTAATAACCCAGATGTCAAGCTATCTTAACATGATTGGTCTAAGGAATGTAGAGACAAAGTTTTCCTACACTCAAACAGAGAAGAATATAATATCTCAAGAAACTAATGATGCCGAATTACTTTATTTTAAAAACTAAACTGACAAGTGAACGACAACTGCGTTTCTTCCGCATCTTTTCACCAGAAGTACTGGAGCAAATTTTGACCACTAACATTATGTGTATCTTTAGGTAACGCAAGTATGAAACTGTTCTTTAGATTATATACAAATATAGTTTTTATTTGAATCATAAATCACGTATTTATCAATCTTTTCTTTAAATAAAAATATTAAAAAAAATGTTATTTCTCCTGTGCTAGTTTGCCATCATCGTCATCGTACAAAACCACATTAGACTCAATTCGTATTCATACAACACCATAATCTATTCATCTTTATATATACAATTATGACAACAAAGAAAGGCCTCGAAAATAAACTATGGAGAAACAAAGAAACTCTGAAGAGAAGAGGAAATAAAATCAAACAAACCAGGCATCAAGAAAAGTGGAGTGATAGTGCAGAAGCACAAGAACGAGCAGGATCAAAGCAGCAACACCCCAAGGGGAGGAACCCTCTGAAGGGAAGTGATGAGTTCTCCTTCTCGTCTCCCATGGCGAGGAGTTGAAAAAGAACCATTCTGAAGTATCGACAGACGATAACCAACGAACTATGAGTATCAGCAGCACTGGTGTGGCTAACAGCATATAACCCAGTTGTTCTTCAGCAGCTTCAACCACTTCCTCATAGGAGAAATACCATGAGATGGCGAGGAAAAAGAGGATGAGTGATAAGATTAGCAAAACGGGGTATGGGACGGGGTTGAGAGTGAAACCGTCCAAAAGAGAGGAGGCTCTGCTTCTTCCATGCGCCATTTTAATTGAGAAGTGAAGTGAGAATTGTGTTCAGTTTTATTTTTTGATTTATAACAAAAACGTGTTGACCAGCGGTTTGTGAAATAAAGTTTGTAATTCATATGATTTGGCGGTGTGGGATTTGTGGCACTTTGTACCACACCCTAAACAAGGCTAGTGTGTACTATACGACATCACATACCACAAAACAAAGCATTATATTTTTTAGTTAATCGCTCTTTGAAGTGGTAGGTTTGCTTATTTATCAATTCGTTACCATTTACCAGGCTTGCCCCACCAGTGAAATTAAGACACATTGTAGTTATCTTGTGCCAAACAAAGAAAATCTCATTATGTACATAACGAATTCTAATTGGCCTACTCATCTAAAAGCCTCCCAACGCTAGTTTTAAAATTATATGGACAGAAAACTTTCTTCAACATTATTTATGCTTAAACTATCTTTTTTCCAAACACACCATGACAATATTTGTTACTTTTATTGCAGAAATAGTTAATAATTTCTTAGATCAGGTTTCTTATATGAAAGAGTTTTTACAAATTAATTTACGTTAATTTTAATTTATGAGAATTTACTTTATTTTTTTTATAAATTATTGACTCAATTTTTTAGTTTAATACAAATATATTCATAACATAAACAAAAAACCACACTTTCATTTAGTTATAAATTAATATATATTAACATTATTAATTTTATAATAATTCTTAAAAAGTCACATTTATCAGGTTTTAATAATTTTTTTCAAAAGTCTCATTTATTATTAGTTGACAGTATAATTTTTTGTACACTATCAAGTCAATACATAAAAATAAAATTATTTTTTAATATCAAAATGACATTTCATATTTGCAAATGTAAATTTTAGTAAGTTTTTTTTTTTTAATTTATAGAAACTTAATAACAACTGTAAGTGACGAGTTTTTTTTTTCAAAATAAAAAAAATGATGTTACGAGAAAATCTTTTATATAAATATGTGTGTGAATATGATTCTCTTTATTTTTATTCAATAGACCTAAAAAACAGCGAAAGAGGCTTAAACGTCCAAAAACGGTTTTACGCTGTGAAAAATATATAATTTAAAATTTTATTAACAAAATTATACATGTTAACCTTTCTTTATTTTAGTATTTTTTATTATTATTTTTAGTTAATGTCCAACTGGTTCATGTTAAAAAAATTGAAGAAAACTAATTTTTTAGAATTATAATTTCCCCAAGCATTTACTAATTTACCTTAAATTCGTAATTGATATGGTAGGTTTGCATAGTCAATGTGAGGTTGCCCCACATTACAAGTAAACCGATGCCACGTCATAGTTATTGCGTGCAGGAGTAACATAATAAATCAAAATATATCTTCGCATGTAAAGAGAGAAAACATTTGAATTTAAGAAAAGAAAAATAATGGTTCTATAATTAGTGTTTTAAAATTAACAACACATATATCGTTATTTCATGTTTAATTTTTTTTAATTACGAAACAACACAAATTAACTGATATTAGGCATGGCAAATACCTATTTTTTTTTCTAAAAAATGATGATATAACTTTTTTTCAAATAAAAAATATTGATTTCTATTGTTTGATCACAACGAAAAACTATTGAATTCTCCTTTATTGAACATTTTTTCTCCATTTCAAAACAATTAAAATATGGTTCAACAGAATGATTGATTAAAAAATAAAAAAAAGTTCTTAAAAAGTAATAAAATATAATAATGTTTTTTATTATTTTGTAAAATTTGTTACAATTTTAACCCTAATTATAAGGCAAAAAATGAAATGGAAATATAAGATTAATTATAATTTAACAATTAGTAGAGTGAATTGTGTATGTATATAGTAAGCAAAGTAAAAGCTTACTAATTCCAAATTCATTCCCAGAACTAGTGCTTGCATCTAACTTATGCTAATTCCTGAATGGTGGTTGCACAAAAGATGCGTAATCCACTTACAAGCTACCACTTGATGCAGATACAAAAGAAAATAATTGAGCTGTTGTGGGGACAACATTAGGTATTGGGTCACGGTTGAGTTCACCCATTTCAACTCATCAAACCATGCTTTTTCCTTTCTCCTCCTCTTCTTTTTCTGCCCAATCTCAACACTGCAACACCCCATTTTTCGTCACTCGGTTTCCTCGTAGCGTTTATCCCAAGGCCACAATTTGACGTTCACACGAAAAGAAACCTTATATATTCTCCTTCACAGTTAACTTATCGTCCTTAATCTTTTGGAATTGGCTCTTCCAAGACAATAAAGCAAGCACGAAATTTCAACCTTACACAAAAGAAAGTAATATATAATGCTTCAATTATAGCAGAATGACACTAGCCAGAACAATTAATAAGGAAAATTTATTGCTCTCTTTCTGGATTAATTATATACAAATTAGTAACACGGGGTTGTTTGTGAACCTCCCCTTTAGTTTTAGTAACAAACAGTGATATATGCATATATAATTTACATGATCAAATCATAGATAGTATTCCAAATACAATATTTTACTGAGTGGGAAAGGATATGGGATAATCACAGAGCACTGAACACAATACCAATCATGGATACAGCAGGTGTTGGACTGACACCACCAGACTACAAGTAACAGTAGCAGACATGCTTACACCGATAGCACGTTGGCTTTGCATAAACCCTCCTTGGATTTCCAATCAGTGACAGCAAAAGCAGGATGAATAGTACTAGTATTGGCGTAACCAAAGCTGACCAATTCGTCTTCTTTTCTTCAACTACTACCACTTGTTCACGCGTGAAGAGCCAGGGTATGCACAGCAGCATCAAGGCCACGGCCAACATCACAATAACATCTGATGTATGAGTGCTATAAGCCTTGCGTTTATAGCAATAGTAACCCATCCTCAGAAATCTGGAAGGATTTTAGAGCTTCTTTGAGGGATCAAGTGACTCAACCATATAATAGCAAGGAAAAGCCTTGCCCCTATGGAATTTTATACAACAACCACTCATCACATCCAAGATTAATAATATCCACTTCACAGCTTTTGATGGTTGGATTGCTGTTGCTCTCACTACTTTTTCTAGTAATCCATCACAGTCAGCAATAATGGTTAAAACAGGGAGCATGATGTGGGGTCAACTCATGGCTTACGCGGCATGTGTTGAAGATGGTGATTTTGAGTAGCTTTTGGAAATTGGACTTGTTAAAGGGACAAATCATTTCATTATGAAAAGGAATTCAAGTTCTCTACTTGCTTTTATAAACTTTTTTTTGTTGCACGTCACCGTAATGTGATCCTTTTTCATCCTCTTTAACTTGTAGGTAGATATTGGTGGGAGTGAAGTCTAGTCTGCAATAGTTTTACCTAGTGGAATTGTCTTTTTGTCAAGTGTGCAAAAGTCTAATATCAAATTCACACATTAGTAGCAGAAAAACCTCTCCACATAGAACTCGAGATACCACAATTATTGGGGACAAAGCTCAAATTGTTTTTTCTTATTAGGTATGCACAACATTTTCGAGAAGTTTCAACATATGCTTGTTCAATTTTAGCACCCCGCAAATAAAGAGTCTTTTGTGATTATGGCACAGAAGCGTCTACGTGGGCTTATAAGGAAAGGTACGTTGATGAATGTAATAAACGACTAGAATGTTTGAAATTTGATACGGTAAGAAATGATACCAAAAGAAATTAAAATGATATTAAAAATAATTTAACAAATAAAAAATAAAATGTGATCTTATAAAATATTTTCAATCTTATAACTATTATAACTAATAAAAAAATCAGAATTAATATTATTGATTTTATATATTATTATTACTGAGCGAGGTGTGATTAACAAATTTACTCTTAAATGTAAAATTTGGATATGTTCCAGACACGGACCTGGATTCACGTTAGCATAATTGTGCTGGATTCAGAGTACAAATACTTAGAACAAAAATTAATGAATCAAAATTAATCTAACCAAACAATGTCTGTGACCATATCTTGATGCAGATATTATGAAAATATAATGATATATAAGATTTTTCTTAAAGACTTTTAAAATAAAAGTTTACAACTTATATTTTAACGAATTTGTATCATAATCTTAAAAAATAATAATAGGTTTGTAGAGATTCTCACAAAGTTATGTATCATGTTCTATTCTCCGGCATTTGAATTATGCAAGGCACTAAATATCACAAAAAAGTTGAATTTTTTTTGAAATAATTGAATGATCAGTCTCTTTGGGAGAAGTATTCAACAACTTAGGACTCGTGTCTTACCTAAAAGATACAAATCTTTTGTCCTTTCCACGTCAATGAAAACTAGGAGATCCTTCATGTGTATGAGTCATTTTCAATTACGTATCACTCAAATTGGTTATTTTACCCAATGTGAATTTTTTAGTTTAGAACTTCGACCAAAAGAAAATTATAATATTTAAGAAACAAAAAAAATTGTAATTTTTTTTTAATTTCTTATCTTACATGAGTCAAATATTATTCCAAAGCTTAAAAAAAAAAGAGAAACCATTTAATTAGCATGAAATGTATTTTTCGTTTCTAAATTGTTTAAAATGATTATTAAATAATTGTTTTGCGCCAAATAACTATTTTATTTTAGTTGCTCAACTTTTTTTCTTAAAAAACTTATTATAATAACAGAACTATTTTGAAAACATATTTTTAATAATTTTTGTATTGAAATGTATTGAAGTATAATAAATGTAATGTGGGAATTATTGACGTATGATTGATTAATGTAGTAAAGATGAAAAATAGAAGGCAAAGTGAATATTGAATGTGTGAGTTTGTGGCAGAGTGGGAATGACGATGGGAAGAGTGAATGAACAATATTAAGATCCGACGCAGCACCACAATATCAGCCCCTCCGTGAAAATCCAAATGGCTCATGATGCATCGTTTCATATCGTAGATTGATGCACAAACAACACAAAGCAACAAACAAACCCATTCTTTCGTCCTTTCCTTCACAAATCACAATCACAAACACACAGTCAAAGAAAGAAAGAGAAAAAGAAAGGACCTTTTTGTTTCACGTGCTTCAACTTCTTCTCTTCTTTCTCTACAACTTTACACTGTAAACCCAGAGAAAAAACAAATAAAAATATCTCCAAACTTGTGGGGGTTAGTTGATCTCTTCTTTCATTCTTTACAATTTAAAATAATTATCTGATTTGACCCATTCGGCCATTGTCGTCCCTCCCTGCCATGCATCCGACACATTTTTGAGCTTGCATGATCTATTATTTTGGGATGAACATGATGCGTAAATGTAAATCTTGAAAGCTTTCTGATCCCTAATAGGTTTGATGGCAACGTGCTAGTTGTTTTCTGATCACTTTGTACAACCATGGAGATTTACAATGCTGTCTCTTATGCATATCCATGTTTCGTAACCAAATTATGTGTTTCTTGACTTTCATCACCAGCGGTTATCTCCTCTCTTTTGAATGATTTTCCTTCTATTTTTGAGGTTGGCTTGTCTTGTTTGCTCGTATTGTTCATTGTGGTTTTCTTTTTTAGATTGTCAAATCGTATGAGACTTTTCATTTAGCATTTGGGAGAATTTTGACCAGCTAGTTAATTAAGAAGTAACCCTTTTTAGAATTATTCGAAAAACAATAGTGAGAAATAAATTTGTGCCTTTGATAGAGGGATCTGGAGTTGAAAAGTTGGGAATATATAATTAAAAGTTAAAACCACTTAAATTTTTTACTTCTTCTGTTTGGTAACGACAAACCGCTTGAATTGAATAGTGTGGTGGCATTTTCAAAGTTAATCACTTCTTGATTGGTGTTTAGAATCTTCGTGTAGCATCATTTTTGGGAACCTGTATGTCTGAACTCAAATCATTTTGAAATTCGGATTAAAAGAATGATGCACGAATTTGGAATTATATGCCTTGGGTGAAGTGTTACAAACGAGGAATTTAGAAGTTTGAGGGTGTGTTCTACTTTTATGTTAATTTTATGTCAGTATACTTTAAATTGAGCAGATTTTTGAGCAAGACTACTGCAAGTGCTAAGATTTCGAAAGATGTCTTCCTTTCCGATTGAAAGGTCTCACAATGGAAATTTAAAGTGTCCAGAGGCGCTAGGTAGTGTGGCAGAAAAGAAGGAATTTGATTTCTCAAAAGCATTAGATAGGCCAAGGGCTCTGAATATAGAGAGACAGAGATCATGTGATGAAAGATCGATGGTTGAACTATCCATAGGCTATTCTCCACGTCATTTGGTCACAAAATCTGAACTCACATCTCGCCTGGCAGATCATGTTGATCATTTACATTCTCCTCTGCTAAAGTCAGGTATTAATACTCCAAGATCACCGACATGGGATCCACATCCATTAACATCAGAAGCTTGGGAAGCTCTGAGGCGTTCCTTGGTATATTTCCGTGGCCAGCCAGTTGGCACGATTGCTGCTTTGGATAATTCTGATGAGAAACTTAACTATGATCAGGTAGCATGACCTTTAGGTATCCTCGATGTATCTGTTTTTTCTATGTTGTCTTCTTTTTCTCGGGACGGGGAGAATAGGCACAATTTCATTACATACTATAATTTTGGCTACACTTGTAGGCTATGTTTTCTTTTTACACTCAGCTTAATCTTTTACTCTTTTTCATCATTTTACTTTTTTCTTCCATTTCATGCTGATCAATCATTGGCTTTGATCATTATACATTTCTCTTTCCTTGTCTCCCCATTTTGATATTTCTGTTTGGTCTAATCTAAGGTATTACTGTATTTGTGCATAGGTGTTTGTAAGAGACTTTGTCCCAAGTGCTTTGGCTTTTCTGATGCATGGGGAACCGGACATTGTTAAAAATTTTATTTTAAAGACCCTTCGCCTTCAATCGTGGGAGAAAAAGATTGACAGGTTCCACCTAGCAGAAGGGGTGATGCCTGCTAGTTTTAAAGTATTCCATGATCCGGTCAGAAACCATGAGACCCTCATAGCAGATTTTGGTGAAAGTGCAATAGGCAGGGTTGCTCCTGTTGATTCTGGATTTTGGTGGATCATATTACTTCGTGCATACACAAAGTCTACGGGAGACTCTTCTCTGGCTGAACAACCTGAATGTCAAAAGGGCATGCGCTTGATCCTGAGTCTATGTCTGTCAGAGGGGTTTGACACGTTCCCAACTTTACTATGTGCTGATGGATGCTGCATGATTGATCGCAGAATGGTGAGTTTCTGAAATTTATGATACTCTCATTTTTCCCATGTCTACTTCGAACCAGACATTTATTAGGACAAACTGATTCATGATCTTTGTTAGGTGATTTACTGTGACTTCTGTTGTTAATTAGTGGTTAATTCATCCATTTTTTTTTTTAAATTTGTACGTGATTTCAGGGTGTTTATGGGTATCCAATAGAAATTCAAGCATTGTTCTTCATGGCTCTAAGATGTGCCTTGCAATTACTTAAGCAAGATGCTGAAGGGAAAGAGTTCATGGAGAGAATTGTAAAACGGTTGCATGCCTTAAGCTATCATATGAGGAGCCACTTTTGGTTGGATTTGAAGCAACTCAATGATGTATACCGCTTCAAAACAGAAGAGTATTCACATACTGCAGTGAACAAGTTCAATGTTATTCCTGATTCTTTGCCAGATTGGGTGTTTGATTTCATGCCCCAACATGGTGGATACTTTGTTGGGAATGTGAGCCCAGCTAGGATGGATTTCCGGTGGTTTTGCCTGGGAAATTGCGTGGCCATTTTGTCCTGCATGGCAACTCCTGAACAGTCAACTGCAATCATGGATCTCATAGAATCACGCTGGGAGGAACTGATTGGGGAGATGCCTGTCAAAGTCTGTTATCCAGCTCTAGAAAGCCATGAGTGGAGGATCATAACAGGGTGTGACCCAAAAAATACTAGATGGAGTTACCATAACGGTGGATCCTGGCCAGGTATTCATTCTCATACATGCTACAATTAAGGATTCCAACCTCGTTAATTCTAAAACCATTTTGGATCCTCTCCTCATTAGGATAATCTAAATAACTTCATCTTTTTCATCTTGGAAAATGGATTCAAAGTTCAATACACCAAAACAAACAGGCAATCAATAATTTTTCATGTGACATATATAACCAAGCTTTTCAATTAGGAAAAAAAAAAAAAAGAAGTTCAGTGAATTCTGATTCTCTACCATTATGAAATTCGACTAACTCATTTATTTGTGGTGGTGGTGGTTGTAGTTCTTGTGTGGCTTCTGGCTGCAGCGTCGATAAAGACCGGGAGACCCCAAATTGCAAGACGTGCCCTTCATATAGCTGAGAGCAAATTGCTAAAGGACAACTGGCCTGAATATTACGACGGAACGTCGGGCCGATACATTGGGAAACAGGCCCGTAAATTTCAGACCTGGTCTATTGCTGGGTACTTGGCCGCTAGGATGATGCTTGATGATCCATCCCATTTAGGTCTTGTGGCTCTGGAAGAAGACAAACAACTCAAGCCCTTACTCAAGAGATCAAACTCATGGACTTTGTGAGTCACTTGGTCTTTTTACTTTTCCTTCATCAATTTTGAACCTACCCAATGACAAAACAAAAGGGAACAACAACTCACGGTGGAGGCCAAATACACGACATTGATGCTTTCTATGTTGCATTTCTTGTGTTTTCGTGTTCCTTCTGTGGAAAGCTTAACTGACGCCAATTTGTTACTTGCACAAAGCTTACAATTATATACATCTTCCTTCCTCTGTTCCACTTATTCCAAATTCTAATCATTACAAAGAAAAATAAAGAAACCAATTAAAAAAACTACAACAATCACGATATCCTAAACTTGGAACCACAATCCTACGTTGCACCTATCACATGTTATAAGTTATTGTTGGGTGGTAGAGGGGAATAATAAAACCTCATTTTTCAAATTCGAGATAAATAAATGTCAGAATTCACATAATATTTTAACGTGAAAGTAATGAACTGATAAGGGGAAAACAAATTCACGAGCAAGATTAGAAAAATAATCTTTAGTTCTATTGTGAACCAAGGTATAAGAATTTTATTTTCTCAAGAAATATTACAATTTTATCCTTTCCTACAATTACTTATTATTAATATTAGGATTTATTATTGAAAATTTTCCTTCTAGTATTCATAAGCCCACATTCATATAATAAATGCAGTTATTTTTTATTGTTTAATAACATTAGTAGACAAATTAGTATTTTTATTATATATTCATTATGTAGTTGAGTTGAGTCATATTTGGTAGATTTTAAATTTGTAAAATTATTATTACTCAACCCATTATAATCAAATGACTAAATCTAGCCCACAAAAATTTACTTATAACGCACACAGACAATAGTTTCCAAAAATACCAACGAGTTATAAAACAGTAATCGTAAAGTTCTTTTACTACTTAGTGAATAAAGAAAGCAAAATATTATTTATTTATTTATTTATTTATTTATTATTATTCACAATAGTAAATAAGATATGAAATATACGTTGATAATATTCATAAAATTATACTTATATAGTAAAACATTAAATTTTTTGACAGTAAAATTATCAAATAATACATATTTTCATTATTTGATTGAGTTGCATCAATTTTTTTTTAATTTGAAACTCATATATTGATATGAAATCCAATTACAATTACACCCTTTCAAAAAAAATAAAAATTCATCCAACAATTCAATTTATAAAATAAAAATTCAAAAAATCAATGAGATTAGAAGATACATGGATAACTAATGGTGACAAAACTCGATGTAATAAAAAAATTAAAAAAAAAATTAAAAAAATGAAAAATAGACTATATCACAATATTATTGATTTTTTTCTACTTTAAAATTATGTTTGAATATCAATTACTTAATCTAACTATTTATTCTAAATATAATATTGTACATTTTTAGATTAATTAATAACAAAAAATAAATATGAGTCTGATTTTTTAAGATTATTTTACTATTTAATTGTATTATAGTTGTAACATATTTATACTTATTAAAATGTGATTAATTTGCATTATAATTTTAACTAAGGTATTATTTATTTATTTATAAATATGAACTAAATTAAAGTTATAAAATGAAAATAATAATATAAAAAATGTCTATATATTTAATTTTTCTATTATAAAATATTTAATTTGTTTCTAATAAAATGTTTAACAGTTTTTTAAATCCTTAACTATTTTATTGTAAAAATTTCAGCCAAATTACAAAATAATATTTTTATTTGATTTTGATTTTTTATTAAATTAAACAATATAAATCAATATAATTTATTTGATAAAAAATGAATCAAACGCTTAAACTAATTTTTTTATCATAAACAAGAAACTCAACAACGAAATTTATATTAAATGTAGTACATTTTTTTAGGAAAATATTGTAGAATATATTAAACACAAAATAATCCTATAAATTGATCATCATGGTCTTATTTTAAGATTTGTATCTTATTCTACGTGGGAACGTGTGGTAATATTTATTATATTAAGAATGTAGTAAAAAGTTATCATAAAAATGTAATATTCTAAAATAATTAAGACAAATAACAGTAATAGAATAGTGTTATATTTTTTGACCTTGAAAAGTGCGTAAATCAGGTTTGTCCCCTGCAGTTTGGGTGGGGAATTGCAGCGACTCAAAGTCGTCGTTGACATTCTAGTGGATTGAGTTGTGCCCTAATTCAGAACTTGGGGAAGGAATCGCATGCATCCATTTCAATTAGGAAGGAACGCAAATTCAAATCAAATAATAAACAATTGAACGAATTAATTGAATCGGTGAAAAAAGAAAGCTTAAAGAGAAAGGAGGGATCATGAGGGGTGCGAGAAAATCGATCCACGCTATCATCACATGGGTGCGGCGGCAGCCACCGAAGATGAAGGCTTTTATCGCTGTCGTATCCAGCATGGTGGCTCTCGTCCTTCTCCGCATTATTGTTCACGATCACGACAATCTTTTCGTCGCCGCCGAGGGTGTTCATTCTCTTGGAATCTCTGTTCTCATCTACAAGCTCATCAAAGAAAGAACTTGTGCCGGTCACTGACCCCTTCTTTTCTCTTTCTTTAATTTCCTTTCTTTTTCTGTTAAGGATCTGTTCCCTAATTTTCAAGCTTAAATTATTAATTGCCAATTTCTTCACATTTTTATTTAATATGTCTGCAATTTCCTTATCAAAATTTCGAATTGCTCTGCACGACCCGTTAGTATTAAACTTAATGTGGCCTACCTATAGCATGAAGAAATTGTTTGGTTCAGAACGTTCCCAATGGATGATTAACGGCATTGTTTGGCTGATTTTATTTCCTTGTTTTGTTGCATGAAAAGAAGAAACATCATTTTGTTTTATTTTGGTATATTCTTTGTGATGTGCAGGATTATCACTCAAATCCCAGGAATTGACAGCTCTGTTTTTAGCTGTCAGGCTGTACTGCAGTTTTGTCATGGAATATGATATACACACCGTGCTTGATTTGGCTACTTTTGTAACAACAGTGTGGGTTATATACATGATTCGTTTTAAATTGAGGTCTAGTTACATGGAGGAGAAAGACAATTTTGCTCTATACTATGTGGTAATCTCCCACACTACCACTTTCATTTCAAAATTATAAGCTCCTTCTATATTGTTTTTTTTTACACAACTTCAAAGATTATATACTTGTGCATTTACCTGTTCTATTTTTGGAATTGAATGCAGGCGGTACCCTGTGCTGCGTTAGCCTTGTTTGTTCATCCATCAACTTCACATCATTTATTGAACAGGATTTTCTGGGCATTCTGTGTATATCTTGAAGCTGTGTCAGTACTGCCCCAACTGCGAGTCATGCAGAATACCAAAGTATATAAGAACATGCATCATACATGTTATTAGTTATATAATTCTACTTTTTCCTTCTTAATGTCATTTCATTTTATGCCTTCAGATTGTAGAGCCATTCACGGCACATTATGTATTTGCCTTGGGTGTAGCAAGATTCTTGAGCTGTGCTCATTGGGTTCTTCAGGTATGATTATTAGTTCATCCAATCTCGTGAATGCATTAGTCAGCTCCATGAACATTTTCATATAAGTTGTCACTTCTTTGCCGGCTTGTGCTGGTGTCTGTTATCACTAATAAGGACATTTTATGGATTGACTACCTGGTTGATCGAGGAGTGAAATGTGAGTATATAAATTGTAATTTCAAGTTTGGTTTCATTTCCACTGGCATAATAGCCAGCTTTCTTCTTAAAGTATAAAGTACTATAGGACCATGCATTTTGCCTGTATCTGATTTCTTTTGATTGTTTGTACGTTATATCTTTTAAATTAAATCCAATTTCCTGGCCAGCGTGTTATTAATTTGCAGTTCTTAGCACAGTTCTTTAGTGGCAATTTATTGGATTTGCAAATCGCTGGTCTCCTACTAACTAAGTTATAATTTCTTGTAACAGGTGTTAGATAGTCGTGGACATTTGTTGGTTGCTTTGGGGTATGGATTATGGCCGTCAATGGTACTTATTTCAGAAATTGTGCAGACATTTATCTTAGCAGATTTCTGTTACTATTATGTCCAAAGGTTGGTTGAGTGCATCATATAGGTCTCTTTCCTATTTTGACCCTGTTCAGCATGATTCTCTTCCTTATGATATTTAATTTGTTGCAGTGTTTTCGGGGGACAGCTTGTTCTCCGCCTACCTTCTGGTGTGGTGTGATTGACGATTCACTTCGCTGCATGCTTGCATTTAAATTAACTTAATCAACCAATATTTGTAGTTGGAAATGTTTGGCTCCTTGGAACAATCTGGTTCTTTGTAAAGTTAGAGATTAAGGGAAAACTAGATATTTGCGCTGAAGGAGCATTATTTGTAGTTGGAGATGCTATACACATAGTCTTGAAATTCAGTTATTGACACAACATTTCTACGTTATCCATGTTAACTGTTTGAGTTGAAGGGATTATTTTTTCCATAACATTTTGATTATAATCTTACTTTTTGAGGGTTTTTTTGTCTCGTAAAAACATGGTCAATGTGGTAATAATGATGGAACTGCTACGAATGTTCTCAAAAGTAATCGTACTTCCAAAACCCCGTAAAAAGGTATCGCGGGGCTCCTAAACACAGCTTCAAAAATCCCTCGTCCTGGAACTAAACAACACCGACCAAGTTTATTACCAATTGCTATTTGGCTATCCAGTGTATTTTACATTAATACTCTTCTAAAGATGTAAACAAATTAAATTAAAATATCTGTAAACTTTAATTTAATTAATGAAAACCATTTTAATAACAATACATATTAATCAAAAGGTATAACAGGGGAAAAAAAATGTCTGTGTTGAGTCTCAATACTCAATTGAAGTCTTCTGACCAGATAATGGTCATAATTAAGTAGGCAGTCCAGCATTACTTTACATGACAGAAAGCTAATGGGTTATGTCCAGAAAGGCAGGCCCTCTCTTCTTTCCTAATTTTTAAATAAGTTTAGTGACACTTAAAATTAGAAAATCAATCACTTAATTGTATTAAAATAAGATTAATTAAGTTAAATTAAACATGTAAAAAATAGTCTTTTAGTTACAATAGGAAGGTTGGTTGAGTGTGTTTTAGGTAAGCGTTTACAAAATTGATTTTAGTTAAAATCAGTTTGTAGAATAATTTATGTTTTATTTTTTTTGAATTTTAAAATTAATTTTGTTGTTCAATCCAAGAGTTTCTAAAAGATATTTTATGTAACTTATAATCAATTCCTGAACTTGAAATTAAATATATAAGTATTTATCTAAGACGAAGTTAGATGATATTTCAATATCCAACGTGAATCCGTATAACTGAGGGAGTGTGCCTTTCAAGTATCTCTTGAATATAATCATGTACCTCGTGTTCAACAATGCATAATGTACTGAAAAGACCAGCCCAAAAATTAACTAAACACCATTGTCACTGCATTTCTAGGGCCATTAAGTTCGAAGGTAGCATTTTTTGCTGTGTGCATTACAAAGTCTGGAAGCTTTTGCTTGAGCCTATTACATTATGTGTTTGTTTAAGTAGTAATAAGGCTATTTGGATTGCCTTAGGTCCGAACAACGAATATATACAAGCCATAATAGCAAATTTATATCCCAAACATATTCCGGCATCCATGAATTAGACAATCACTATTAAAATCAAGTTACTCAATCATTACATCATCATAGAAAATAATCGAACATTGCTTTAAGTATGTATCATTGTACATGTTTACAATGATTGCCACAATCTTTGCCAGATAACATGTACAACCTGCTAGGCCAGAACGTACAAAAGAGAGATGAGAGATGGGGCTGCAATATCTTCAGTTTATAAGTTATTTTTGCTTAAATCTCACAAATTCCCAATCAATAAAGGTAGTGTACAATTGGAGCCCACCGTGCATCGTTGCATATAGCAAAACCCAATGTGAAATTGGTTTGTCAAAGTTCAGATACGGACTTTCCATTAACAAAATTGATAACTTGTTCAACTGCCAGGTCAAGTGCAGCGGTTACAGCTGCCAAATTTTGCAGGAATTCTTCTGCAGTTGGTTTGTCACCATCAATGATATCAGTCACAGCTTTTACAAAAATTGCCGGAACTTTCAGAAGGTCTGCAACATAAGCAATAGCTGCTCCCTAGAGAAAAAGTTGAAACGGAGAGTTAGAGCAAATATTCAACAAAGGAAAGATTAGAACTACTACTAGTTATTCAGTTCTCTGCAATTTAAACGGGGAAAGATGAACAGAAAATGCCAAGTATAACACAAAATATCAGGTTACCTCCATATCTTTAACAGTAGCATCATTTGCGATGATTGATAATTCATCCTGCTGTGACATATCTAAAGAGTCACCAGTAGACAATTTAGCCAGCTGAAATATGCAGAGGTATTGATTAAGGTTCAAGTTTTGCACAATTAATCTAAACAAAAGAACTGGCCACAATATCGTAATGAAACAAATCAAAGTAAATTTTTCATCTGTTTGAACTGTAAAACGGAACATCACCTTGCTTCTGTGTAGGATGTTTATCTCGTGTGGAAGTGAACTAGTATTATTATGATCGAAGTTAAAGCTGTTTATTCTTTGCAAAATTTTCAATGAAAAGCTAGCAGCAATACGTTAGAAACCTCCTCACATACACCAATATATAAGAAAAAGCTATTCCATTCAGTTTACTCTATAGGGTATGTGTCCAAACTTCAAAGTATTACCAAGATTGCATTGCCCAGCCTCTAAAGAACACCAAGCTAATAAGCAATAACAGCGAGATAAATGCAATATTGACCAGACAAAAGTAAAGGTCAACAACCATGTAACTTAACAATTTTTCTTAGATTGTCATAAAATGGTTTATGTTTTTTCCATTCATCTATGATTATTATTGATAGCTTGAAATTTTCTGATAGTAAAAATACATTAAACACTGCAAATCTCGATTTTATCAGCAGAAATGTTTATCCTACAAGGCATGCCAATTTTTAAACTAGGCTAAACATACATTGTACACATTTAAGATGTCAGTAGGAGTGAGAGACTAATCTCAAATGAACTCCTAGTCAAAAACCATCAAGCCAAGACAGTCCCAGAAAAAGCAAGATAATTTGTGTTCTCAAAGGTACAAACTTCACAAAATGCAAGGGCAGTTCTGCAATCCAGCTAATCTGGTTAATAAATGGCAGTAATTCAGAATTTAGGATGACAAAACATTTTGTGATATAAGGTATTTGTTGGCAACGTGAATTTTAAATAAAGTGTTTTGTTTTCAGGGGCACATATGTTTTAAAAAATAGCACTCACCTTTAGATTAAGCTCCTTTACAAGGTTGGGTGCTTCAAAGGCTTTACGTAAACCAACACCGTACAGATCAAAAACCTGCAAAAGACATCACACATATTATTTATGTTGATGTAAAACTTCTGCCACACTACGTCGCAAGCATGAAGCATTAAAACCGTACAGATCAAAAACCTGCAAAAGTGAATATCTCAACTGTTGTTTTAAAAATTAGTTCACAAGTATCAATTGAAAAATATTAAAATGTAACCATAACTCTCTGTAAATAGTTTCTATGCAAGAAAACATAGCATTTAACCCACTTGGTTAACAAGTCAATAATAATTAACCAACATTAATGATATTAACAGGTCAACCACCTTACTCTTTCTCTAATTTTACTTTGAGGGTTAAATGGGAAACTATAGCAAGATGAGGTATGCCATGCTGAAATTGTTATAGTTTTAAGTTAGATAGAAAATTATTGGAGTGAAAGAAGGGTACATGTAAAATGAACAAAATCCTACATAGATAGTAAAGAAACCCAAACCAGAGAAACGAGATATTCTCCTATATACACAATATAAAACTAGGCATACACAATAAGAATATGAACTAGATATTATATTCATTGCAGTTTCAAATATGAACTAGGCATAGTCAACCATACTTCAAGTAGAGAAGGGAGCACAGACAACAATCAAGAGCTACCAATAGGAATAACACAACACTTACAGGTATGGGTATTCTTCTGTCGTGAAAAGCACAATCTGATACAATGAAAACATCACCAATACTAGCTCCTTTGGCCTGAAAGCATCCAGTAATAAAAAAAACTAAGACAAATATGTTCATGCACATACAAATCCATTTATATATGACTGCACGATATTATTTTTAGCTAGATGCATAATCAATACAAGATTTTAATTTACTATAAGGAGTTACTGTTTTATATATGTACATCAAGTGTGGAAAGTCAAACAACTGCACAGGCAGGTAAACATTATTTTGTCTTGAAAAGATCACAGGCTATATATGGTCAGTCAATCCACATAAAATGCTCATACATAATCCATTTATTGATTACAGAACAATTTATGTATAAAATTAATAAGTACAATAAATGGCTATAGTTGATTGCAAAAATTGTTTTAGTTTAATTTTATTTGATCACTTGTTGTAAGTTATAAAAAAATAGATGAATAGAAAAAAATTATTTAACATAGATTACAGGGTCAAGATTTTTTCTTTGAAATGTTTATGCTAAACAGTAATATAAAATTCCTGTACCAAAAAAAAGGGTTATATAAACTCGACCACCAGAGTATGTAAAAAAGGGAAAACATTGAATCAGATAATAACAATTCAATTATTGAAAACGAATATGACTACAATTTCACAGGAAGGAGGATCAAAGCTAGCTAAAATAGGAAGAGATCAACAAATAAGCAAGATACAAATATTTTTGCGGGTATAAAACTAGAAAACCGGCAACCCTAAAGCTACTGCTTGTGGAAGACGGTGCTTACCTTGAAGCCACCGGCAGTTCCTGCATTGATGATCAAGTCTGGTTGTAATGTTTGAATAGCAGCATATGTTACAAGGGCAGATGATATCGTGCCTACACTATCAACACCTGAAAGAAATGGATCAGGACACGTCAAATAAAAACTAGCAGTCAAAACAAAATTGCCGCTTCCTTTATGTTCCTTAAAGATATGGACTGGGGGCGTGTTATAGTTATGCCAACAGACATTCGAACTACTGCTCATGTAACACAATCAGGCAAAAAAATCTACGCTTAATAAAAGTAGGCAGAAATCCAGTTTTTATATTTGTTTCTAAAGGTTTGGATTGGAATAAGCATCATAGCAACCATTCGTTATTCCCATCTCATCACATTTCTTTCAAACAATCAAATTGAAAAGAACAAACATCCTTACCTAAAACAGGATCTTTTCCAGGCCAAATCAAGCTTATATTGAGATCTTTGTATGTCCCATGATAACGGACCCAAGGAACACCTTGCGGAAACCTGCACCATCGTGTACAGACAGACACTTTAATCAATGTAAATACGTGAAAAGTAAATGTCTACTTTACTTCAACCCCTCACTAAAAATTAGATAGATAATTGATTAAAAAAAAAAAAAAAACTAGTCTAAGCAAATTTTAAGATGCTGCACAAGACTAAAAAATCATTTGTAAGCAGAATAACATGTATACATAATACAATATTTAATTTCAAGCAAAGTTAGCCAAAATAAAAGAAAAAAAGTGTGATTAACTAATTAGAGTTAGTGATCTTAAAATCTAAGAAAAAGAAAAGTGAGAAAAGAGAGATACAGACGGAGAGTTACGGTCCTCGGTGAGCTGGAACCTGTTGACGACGGGAAGTGCCTCCGTCTGCATAGCTGTTATTCATTCCATACAACGTCAACATTAACATTAAGACGATCAAAGAGAAAATAGAAGATGACATAGGATCGTAAGGTACCAACGACGATGACGATTGTAGAAATGGGTTTGTTCTGCGAAGCCATGGATTGTTGGTCAGAAGCAGGAGGAGCGTCTGATTGGTCCCCAAGCGCAGCCATGACTATTTGTCGCAGATTCTTACGGATTTTCCCCTTCTATCTCTATTTTCCCCACAGTCAATAATATGTTTTTTTCGTCCCTATATATTTTTCAAATACTTTTTCAATTTTTTCCTCTATTGTGTTTCTCAAGATAATTAAAGTCTGTCCTCTAACGATCAAATTCATACACTATCTCAACAGTTCATCATATTAATAATTTGTTTCCAATTCTTTGCTTCATTCAACTTTTGACTTAGGGTTGAAATAGGTATTAATAAATATTCATAATCAGAAATTTTTAAAAATTAGGGTCGCAAATTTAGGATTTTAGTCAGTTACGTCAGAGAAAGTTGGTATCAAAAGTAACTTTACACACTGCAATGGATTGATAAATACAGGGAATAAAAACAAATAAACACAAATTTGTTGATTTTGATACATTAAAATATAATTTATGTGTCCTGAAGCAATGATTATTCTCTATTTACTTATAAAAATTTATTTTCCATTATAAATGATTAAATGTATTTTGGATCTTTAAAAATATCCTTTTTATTAAATTTTGTAAAAAAATATTTATATATAGTTTTATTCTTAACAAAAATGATATACTTTGTATTTATATTGTGAATTACTAATAAATAAGTTTCATGCTTTTTAAAATTACAGATGACTAAGACTAATAAAAATTAAAATCAAATCAAATTTTGAAACTAAATATATATGTTAACTTTTAATAAAATCAGCTTTCATCTATTTTAATTTCAATGTAAATTATATATTTTTTTCTTTTAAGTTTAGGGTTAGTTTTTCTTATTTTGCCACAAATTTGGTTTGTCATGTTGACAATGAATGGAACAAATTTTGGCAGATAACTTACACTGTCAGTTTCAATTATCTTCAGTTTATACTTTATAAGTATGTAATTTTTGCTTAAATCTCAAAAATTCCCAATCAATAATGATAGTGTTTCAGTTGGAGTGCACCATTATTACATATACACAACTTGGAATGTGAAATTGGCTTGTCAAAGTTCAGATACATACTTTCCATTAATAAAATTAATAACTTGTTCAACAGCAGGATCAAGTGCATCAGCTACAGCTGCCAAATTCTGCAGGAATTCTTCTACAATTGGTTTGTCGCCATCAACGATATTAGTCACAGCTTTTACAAAAATTGCAGGAACTTTCAGAAGGTCAGCAACATAAGCAATAGCTGCTCCCTGGAGAAAAAGTTGAAACTGGAGTTAAGCCGCAATTGATATATGAGAACAACTAAACTAGTTAGTTATTCTGTCCTCTGATCTGATATTTAAATGGGGATTTATTTGATGACACAAGATGTTATTTGTGAATATGAGGATTGATGCCATTCCCAATAGATGACGTCCCAGTCAATTTACCTCCATATCTATAACTGTGGCATCATTTGCCATGATTAATGATTCATCCTGCTGTGTCATGTCTAAAGAGTCACCAGTAGACAATTTACCCACCTAAAAATATGCACAAATATTGTTTAAAGTACAAGTTTTGCATAATTAATGTAAAAACAATTCGGAAGCAAATATACAGTGAAGCAAATCAAAGTACATTTTCATGTGTTCGATTTTGAACAGTCAAATGGAATAAGGAACATAACCAAGTTTCAGAGTAGGATTTGTCTATCTGATGCGAAGGTGGGCTACTACAGCAACTATTAGGTTAAAGCTGTTTATTCACATGCAAGGTTATCAATGCAAAGGCAGAAATGTATTTGCAACCTCGTGATACACTAAGGTAAGATAAGAAAACGAGTTCCATTCAATTCCCTCTAAATTGGGAATGGGTCCAAAGTTTGCCAAGATTGTATTGCGTTGCCTCAAAAGAAGAAACATAAAGTGTAACAGTAAGAGATAAAAGTATTAATGACCTGAACAAAGTAAAGGCCAACAACCTGGTAGAAGCTAGGACAATTTTTCTAACGTAAGTATAAAATGGTTTGTTTTCTTCATTCAGTGATAGCACATGAGATTGACTGATAATGAATTAAACATGTAAATCTCCATTTTGTCAGCAGAGATGTTTATCCAACGAGACATATCAATAGACATACGTTATGCACATGAAGAGTGTTAGCAACTCACTCATTAGTATACTTCTGCTAACACACTTTTATGGGTTAAAATTTATTGAAAGTTACCAAATTACAAGAGAAATTCATTAAATGGAATACGAGGCCCACATATTTTTGTGATTTCGAAAATCAATAAAAACGTGTGTTCAAAATAATGTACAGAAAAATGAATTCCCAACATTACTCTTATGCACATTATTACATGTTGGCTTCAAATTTAATCCTTGCAGTCATCATACATACATGTCAGTAAGAATGACTAATCCAAAATGAACTCCAAACCAAGCCAATCATAAAAATATGAAGATGGTTTTTGTGCTCAAAGGCACAAACTTCACAAGATGCATTTCCAATTCTTCAATCCATCTGGTTAACAAATAACACGTAATTCAGATGACTAGAGATGTTGTGATATCAAGAGATTCTGGGTTGGCTGTATGAATTTTGAATAAGATTAACTGTTATGAAGAGTAGCGTATACATTTTATCAAATAGTACTCACCTTTAGATTAAGCTCCTTTATAAGGTTAGGTGTATCAAATGCTTTACGTAAACCAACTCCATACAGATCAAAACCCTGCAAAAGACATTACGTGTCTATATATATTGATGTTGACAGAAAAACTTCTACCTCAATTAAATATCCAAATACGTTAGTGTAAGTCTCTATGCAAAGCAAATAGTTCTTAGTAAGATTCTAACTGACTAACTGAAAATTTTAAAGAAAAATAGTATTTCATCCTCTTGATTAATTAGTAAAAGCCTTCAAAACCCTTGACATACTTTTAATATACAGTAGAGTAATTAAACAAATGATATTATTGACAGTTCAACCACCTTACTTACACTTATTCTTCTTTATGATCCAAGGAGAAAATAAATCATTAGAGGTATATCATGCTGAAGTCATTATAATTATAATTTTTTTTCCTAGGTAAAATAGTATTATTGGACGGAAAGAAGTGATATATGTAAAAAGAAAGACTAGTAATATTTTCTTACCCCCCTTCCCCACTTCTCTCCCCCAACACATACATAGTACACACATTAATTGCTGTCTTACATAAAAACTTGGCTAGGTCAACTACACTTCCAAATAGAAAAGAGTGAAAAAGTGGTCAATCAAGAGCTGTTGAGAGGAATAACACTTACAGGTATAGGTATTCTTCTGTCATGAAAAGCACAATCTGATATAATGAAAATATCCCCAATACTAGCTCCTTTGGCCTGAAAGCATTCAACAATAAACTGCATTTAGAAAAATATGTTCATTCGCACAGAAATGCATATATAGCTGCATCATAATATTTTTAGCTATGTGTATAATCATCATAAGATTTTAAATTACTGATTTAATATTTGATACATGTATACTAATGGAGTGGAAAGTAGAAAACTGCACATGCTGATAGAACATAAGTTTGTCATCAACATACCACAGTCATATTGTCCATCCACATAGTCAAACATCTAGTAATCCATCTTGATTACAAAAATTCTCTGAAAAAATAGATTAACTGAAATATGATTTATTTTATTATTCCAATACAAAGAGATGATATAAGATATATACAAGAGACCTAAACTATTTTAGGAACCTAAACTATTTTAGGAAATATAATAACTCTATTTTATGCTAGGATCCCTTGATTTATGGGATTGTTCCTAATTATTCAAATCTGTACAGATTACAAGGAAATATACAAATTTCCTTATTTATTCTTTCCTAAAATACTATTTGATTTCTCACACTCCCCCTCAAGCTGGTGAATAGATGTTTTCCATTCCCAGCTTGGATACAATCTTCTCAAAATTATGGCAGCCCAGTCCCTTGGTAAGAATGTCTGCAATTTGGTCTTGAGAGGACACATATGGAGTGCATATCAAGCCACTATCAAGCTTTTCTTTGATGAAGTGTCTGTCTACTTCAATATGCTTTGTTCTATCATGCTGCACTCGGGTTGTGGGCTATACTGATTGCTGACTTATTATCACAATAGAGCTTCATAGGTTCTTCCCACTTTATCCTCAAGTCTTCTAAGATGATTTTAAGCCATAGCAACTCACATATACCTTGTGCCATGGCTCGGAATTCTGCTCAAGACCTGGACCGAGCCACTACACCTCGCTTTTGCTTCTCCAAGTCACAAGATTTCCTCCAAGAAAGGTGCAATATCCCGTAGTTGACCTCCTATCCACAATTGACCCCGCATAATCGGCATCGAGTATAGGCTTCAAGTTTCACATTACCATTCCTTTTGAATAGAATCCCTTTTCCTAGAGTTCCTTTAAGGTACTCGTAAAATTCCGTGGGCAGCTTGTAAATGGGTCTCCTTTGGGCTATGCATAAATTGGCTAATTAAACTCACCGCATAGGCAATATCCGGCCCGGTATGTGACAAATATATAAGTCTCGTCCACTAATCTTTGGTACATATCTTTTTCAACAAGCAACATCTTCTTCGCATTTCCAAGCTTTAGGTTTGGTTCTAATGGGGTACTAGCAGGTTTGCAAGCTGCCTTGCCAGCTTCCTTGAGCAAATCAGTGATGTATTTCTGTCGAGATATAAATATCCCTTTCTCGGAGTGGGCAACTTCAATTCCCAAAAAATATTTTAGTTTTCCCAAAGTCTTGATCTCAAATTCCTTGCCTAAGCGTTGACTCAATAATTGTTGCTCTTCTTTATTATCTCCAGTTAATATTATGTCATCCACATACACCAATAATATTGTTACTCCCCCGACTTGGAATGTTTAAAAAACAAAGTATGGTCCCCTTGGCTTTGTTTGTAACCCAGCACTGTCATAACTTTAGTAAACCTGCCAAACCATGCACGGGAGGACTGTTTTAACCCATATAATGCCTTTTTCAACTTGCAAACAGTGTTGGTAGCAACATCTTTACCATATCCCGGAGGTATCTCCATATAGATTTCTTCTTCAAGGTCTCCATGTAGGAAAGCATTCTTAACATCAAATTGTTCCAAGTTCCAACCATAATTGGCAGCAAGGGACAATATCACCCTAACTCGTGTTCATTTTGGCAACCGGAGCAAAGGTCTCCAAATAATCAACTCCATAGGTTTGGGTGAATCCTTTGGCAACTAGTCTTGCCTTATATCTCTCAATTGATCCATCGGCCTTGTATTTCACTCGTATAGACCCATTTACATCCAACCGACCTCTTTCCTATTGGTAAGGTGACTAACTCCCAAGTGTTGTTTTTTTCCAATGCCTCCATCTCTTCATCCATGGCTTGCCTCCATTTTCTCGTCGACAATGCCTCGGATAGGGTATTAGGTAGAAGTACGGTGTTTAGGTTTACTAGGAAGGTTTTATGGGTAGGAGAGAAATTTTTAAAGGACAGGTAATTTGAGAGAGAGTAGAGTGGTCTGTTTGGTGCATTTTCTTGTTCCTTTTCTAATGGCAATTGGGAGGTCGGGATCATTTTGGGTTTCAATTTCAACTCTGCACTAACTGGAGAAAAAATTGTTACCTCTTTTTGTGGAGTCGAGTTGGATTCTTGAACATGGCTTGATCCTGGAATGGTCTTAGTCTTCCTTGAGTACACCAGCTTCTTACCAAATTTTCTAGTTTCAACATCTTCTTGATCAGCTTCACAATTAATTTCACTTTCTTGACCAACTTCCTTTGCTTGACCAATTCCTTGACTTGTTTCATTTGTTACAACTTCAATTTGATCTTCAATTTGATCTTGTTTAGGTTCAAATATCAAGTCTGGAAGAATGGGAAAACCAGAATCACTACTTTCCTTATCTTCCCTGAAACTCTCCCCTTGAAGATAAGGTTGATGGAAATAACCCTCTTGTTCATTGAAGGTAACATCCCTAGACACAAAGAATTTTTTGGATGGGGGGTGGTAGCATTTATACCCTTTTTGAGTAGGTGAGTAACCAACAAAGACACACTTTAAGGCTCTAGGATCAAGTTTTCCCCGTCACGTACTATGAATATGGACATATGAGATGCACCCAAAAACTCTTGGTTTAAGATTATTTGTAGTAGACAAGTTTGGATAGAAAGACGACAAAACTTCCATAGGGCTTTTTGATCCTAAGACTCTAGAGGGTAGTCTATTGATAAGGTATGTTCGTTGTAAGGATAGCTTCCCCCGAAATTTTTGGGACACTTTTTTGGAACAACAATGCCCGAGTCTGATTTAATAGATGTCCATTTTTCCTCTCTGCGACCCCATTCTGTTGTGGTGTTTTGACACAAGAGGACTCATGAATTATACCTTCTTTTTGACAAAAAGAATTAAGGACATGATTGAAGTAATCTTTGGCATTATCCGACCTAAGCCTCTTAATATTAACACCAAACTGATTTTTTATCATGGAGTGGAAGTTTAGGAAGACAGAACTGACTTCTGATTTTTGTTTAAGTAGGAAAACCCAAGTGACCCTTGTACAATCATCTATAAAGGTGACAAACCATCGAGTACCGGACACATTTGGAATATTAGAAGGTCCCCATACATCAGTATGAACAAGATAAAAAGGGAAATTGCTAATTCTTTTACTTATTGGAAAAGATATACGTTTGTGCTTAGCAAGTTCACACACCTCACAATGAAGACTCTCAACATCTAACTTGGTAAACAGAGAGGGAAATATAATTTTGATCACTCCAAAGAGGGATGTCCCAACCGACAATGATAAAGCATGATTTTTTCTCTCGTTGGTCATCAAGGGTTCGAGATATGAAGGAGTGAGAGATTCTATTCTTGCTCGGGCAGACTTGGATCTTCGAGATAATAAAGGCCATTCCATTCTCTAGCATGTCCAATCATCCTCCCCGAATCCTTATCCTGAAATACACAATGATCATTGGAAAAAACAACTTTACATGACAAATTCTTTATAAGTTTTTGTATAGACACTAGGTTCGTGGACAACTTTGGGACATGAAGAACGTCTTTTAAGGTTATTAAAGGATTGATTTGGATATTTCCTTGACCAGCTGCAGTTATAAGGGTTCCATCTGCTGTGGCCATTTTCTTGTTCTTGGGACATGGGGAGTATGTGGAGAAGTGTTTGGCTAATGGTGTCATGTGATCTGTGGCTCCGGAGTCCAATATCCAATAATGGTTAAAAGGCGTATTCGAGACATTTAATCCAAAAGAAGGTGGAAACTTACCCGAGTATGCCAAAGAACACATACCCGTAGGTTTTTCCAGCTTACTAAGAACGGTTTTCACCCTTTCTATCTCCTCTTCCCTTGACATTATAGCAAAAGGTGCGATGCAACAACAATGCGAGTCGTCGTCTTAGGATTATGAAAAATGCAGCAGCAATGCAGTCAGCCGTCTTAGGATTAAGAAAAATGCGAGCAGCAATGTAAGTCGCAGTCTTAGGGTTAAAAAAATGCAGCAACAATGCAGGCTGCCGTCTTAGGGTTACAAAATATGCAGCAGCAATGCAGGCTGCCGTCTTAGGGTTTATCGAGCGCAGACAGAGCTTCCTAGATCGAAGCTCGATACCATCTGGAAAAATAGATTAACCGAAATATGATTTATTTTATTATTCCAATACAAAGAGATGATATAAGATATATACAAGAGACCTAAACTATTTTAGGAAATATAATAACTCTATTTTATGCTAGGATCCCTTGATTTATGGGATTGTTCCTAATTATTCAAATGCATGCAGATTACAAGAAAATATACAAATTTCCTTATTTATTCTTTCCTAAAATACTATTTGATTTCTCATAAATTCTATATATAAATTATATAACATAAAATCAATGACCATTATTGATTAAAAATAATGCATTAGATTAATTGGTTTTGACCATAAAACACTCATGTTGTAAGTTCATTCATCAGAAAACAAAATAGAAAAATATAAGAAGCAGTATTTTACATAAATTGTAGAGTCAGATTCAAAACACCACCGGTGTAGATGAAGAAGGAAAAACATTGTATCACATCATTTCCATCAACTATTGCAAAATGAATAGAACAATAATTTCACAGAAAAGAGGACCAAAACAAGCTAGGAAGAGATGCGAAAAATACAACAACTAGACATTTGGGAGTACAGAACTAGTAATAGGCAAATCTAACACTATTTATTACTTGGGAGAAGACAAACCTTGAAGCCACCAGTAGTGCCTGCATTGATGATCAAGTCGGGTTGTAATGCTTGAATAGCAGCATATGTTACAAGAGCAGATGGTATTGTGCCTATACTATCAACCCCTGAAAAAAATGGGTCAGGACTCGTCAAATCAAACATAGCAGTCAAAACAAAGTTGCCACTTTCTACCTTTATGCTCTATGAAGACGTTTAGTGGTGGCATGTTATAGTTGTTCTAACAGACATCCGAACTACTATGTAACAACAATCAGGACATACAAGATAAAACTCAGCAGAAACCCTGTTTTTCTTTTTCTATCGTTTGGTCATTGTGGTTTTGATTGGAATTTGGAATAGTAACTGTTCATTATTTCCACCCTATCTCATTTCTACCAAACAATCAATACATCATAAACCTAAATAACAAAAGTGACTCATCACAATTTTTGCCTATACTTAGAAAAACCTCTTATAATTTGAATTTAAACCTAGCTAAATCCTACTTAACTAATAATCTGTGGGATCTCATATCAGACGATTTCGTCTAAAATGTGAAGTTCACAGGACTCGATATATTTAATAATGGTCCAATAGCTGATGATAACATAAATTCAACAACAACTATTAAAATAGGTTATTATACAATCCTAGAATTTATATTTAACATAACTCAATATTATAAAATCATTTGGTAAGATAAAAATTGTGATAATTTAATTATGTTAATACTGAATTTAGAATCTCCAATTGAATATAATATGAAATTAACTAGTGATAATTGTAAAAGCTACCTATAAGTGGTTAGAAGTGGTGCACGAAGAATGAAATCGAAAAGGACAAACATTTTACCCAAAGCTGGATCTTTTCCAGGCCAAATCAAGTTTATACTGAGATCTTTGAATGTCCCACGATAACGGACCCAAGGAACTCCTTCTGGAAACCTGCACCATTGTGCAAAGAAAGACACTTCAATCAATGTAAACACGTGAAAAAGCAAAGGGTCCACTTTACTTTGAACCTTCTCTGTATAAATAGATAAGTAAATAAAAAATTACTCCCTGAAAATTCTAAGATTTGTATGCGCCGAGCATCAATACAGTATTTCTTTTAGGGTGGAGGTTAACCAAAATAAAATAAAATAAAAATAAAAAGTCTGTAATAAACTAACTGGAGAAAGTGATCGCAATCGAGTGAATCACTCCTTGAAATTCAAATAATTAATCAAATTAGTTTTAAAATTAATAAAACTAATAAAATAATCTTGAAAATTGTAACTAACACCCAATTTTTTTTTTATAATTGGTATCAACTTCTGTTTTAAAGTGGTTCAGTTTGAATTGTGGTGCTGTAACTTGATTATAAATTATGTTGTTATTTTTTTTTAATTGAATAAAATTGGCGTCGAATTGAACTGAATTGCATGAAAAAATTGAATTATGTTGAAAAAAAAAAAAAACTAAAATGTCACTTTAATTTAGTTTTTAAATTTTGAGTTGTTTATTAAAATAACTGGTTGATAAACCGAACTATAATAATATTGAAAATTATGATTTAAAAATAAAATATTTTTTAAGTAACAATTTAAGATAATTCAATCAATTAAAACAACAATTCAATTATATGTTTGAAAGTAGAAGAGAGATACAGACGGAGAGGGAGGGTCACGAGTGAGCTGAAATCTATTCACCACCGGAAGTGCCTCCGTTTCCATAGCTGTTATGTTATTCATTTCATACAACATTAACATTATCACAATCAAACAAAAACACAGAGAAAACATAACATAAAATCGTGCGTGAGTTACCAACGATGATGACAATGTTTGATATGGGTCCGTTCTGAGGTTTGGGTTGGGCAGCCATGGCTTCTTCCTCTGATTATTTTGTTGCAGATTCTTATCTTTTTTTCACTTTTCTTCTTCTATCTCTTTCGCCCAATACCACGCATGAATTGAAACATAAATTCGACCTTTTCCACTTAATAAACGAGTAAATTTTTTAATTATTAATTTATTTTATGCTCTTAACTCTTTATGAAATATACTATGAGATGTCTACTAATTATTTATGTACACGTATTTATTGTTTTATTAACCATACGAATTATATGTTAATGACATATGAGTCGGTTTGAACTCTTAAATAAATATAACGACATATTAATTTGTAAATGTATTTTAATTGTAATACAATATAGATTGAATTTACTTTTCTGACTACATGAACTTAATTTAAATGAGATTAATTTAATTTATTTTATTTTATATTTTATGCTCTTGCTCTACGTTCTTGCATCTTAATATCTTTCTAAGATCTCACATTTTTAGCAAGCTTTCAAGACCAAAACAAACTTTTAAAACTTAGAAATAAAACATTGAAATAAATAACAAACTGAAAACTAATTTCCATTTTTAGAAGTTTAAAATTAAAAATCACCGAAAGGATAAAAGAACAACTTATTATTTTAGTACGTGAATATTAACATTAAATATTGACATGTGTTTTATAATTTCTACTATCATCTTCAAGTCTAATTATAATTTGGTATCAGAGTACTCTATTTATTTAGTTGTTATACTAAATCATATTTTGCACACTTTTAAATTTTATTTTAACTTAAAATCTCTTATGTTTTAAATAAAGTAATATTTGTATTTTTATAATTTTTAAATATATATTGATATCATGTTTTAAATAAATAATATTTATATATTTATATTCTTAATAACACAAAATTAATCTTCTTTGTTTTATTTTTATATGCATTCTTTAATTTGTATATTTTAAATTTAATCTTTAATTTTATTAATGTTTTATTTAAATTTTAATCAATATAATATTTTGAAAAATATATAAAAAAAAGAGTTACTTTACCATAAATATAAGAATCAGATACAAATTAACAGATCAATAAAATTCATATTAAAGATTAATTTTATATAGAATAGGAGAAGTTTACCTTGTGCCACTGCATAGAAAGAGAAAAAAAAAAAAAATCAAAGCAGAAAATGAGGGAAACCGAGTTAACGAAGTCAACGAAGTTGATCGGATATAGAATCCAAAGCTGAAACGATTAACAAGAAGGAAAGCGCTTAGAAATTGAAGTAATGGAATAATATAGGGAAGATCGTGGATAGGAAATGGAGGGTTATCTGTGAAACTTGGAAGGAAGATCGTAGAAGCGGGAGCAGCGTATCGAGACTATGAGATCAGAAGAAAAATTAAAGGACAGAGGTGTCTAAAGATGAGGTTGAAAAGAAACAATGTTTTTGATTTTGTGTACACACCCATTTAGATTGAGTCCAGGATTAGTTAATATAATCCTTCTATCATAATTTAACAATATTCAACCAGAGTATTTTATCCATTATCCATATAGCAAAACATATTTAGTTAGAAAATTAAATAACCCCGTAAAAAAATTTATTCACATTCATAATTATACCACATCTCCAAGAAAAAAATCATGATGTATTTCATTTGTAAGCACTTCATTATAGATATTATTATCTTGATTTCTTTGTTTCTTGATAGAAATAGAAATAAGAATGTTAAATAATTTATGAATGAAAAAAATTTATAATTTAATATTTTAAGGTTTTAATAGTGTTTACTGTGAAAATTTGATCGATTTCGATTTCTCAAAGACTTAGGTTCTAACCAAATTTTAACCACGTAAATTCTTTCTATTTAAGCTAACAAACGGTTTTCAATCGAAAAAATGCATGAGAATCGAAAATCCCATGGTTTCAAAAAATGTAAACAACACAACTTAGTATACAAATCGAAAGTACTATTTTTGGTATTTTTCATTAAGAGACGCGAAGTAAAGAAAACAGTAAAAATGTCGAATCGAAAGATAGTGCAAAATATTAAATTGCAAAAAAATATAAAGTGCGAAAACCTCAAATTTGCATTAAGTGTAAAAGGCAAGGAATCGAAATTGCATAAATGTAAATAGCAGGAAATCGAAATTGCAGAAATGTAAATAACGAGGATCTTAAACGCATAACCTTAACTTGCATAAAAGTAAATGACAAGGAATCGAAAGGACAAAACTTAAAGTTTGACAAACGTAAACTGCAATGAAAGTAAATTACCAGGGAAAGTAGAAAAAATGATAAAGATAATCAATGAAAACGGAAATCCAGAGCATTAGAAACTTCATGATGCATCGTTCTCCTGTAGACTGTTCACTTGCGCTTCTGTTGTCTCTGCCAATTTCCTCTTCTTCTTCAAGCTTCATTCTATTTATAGGTGTCTTCCAATGTAACCTCCAAAGAGCAGTTAAAAAACTGCCACCACGTTCCATGTGCACGATCTTTTATTTTAACTTATAGTTTAGGAAACTGCTTTCACGTTCTATGTGTAATTTAATTGCTTCTCGATTTCTATCCTCAGCCACGATGTGGAAGGCCACTTTACACGTTCCAATATGCATGATAAAACCGTTTCCCTCGATCTCGATTCCAATCATCAAATACGATTTCCCTTGACCTATTTTATCATTACCTTCATCGATTTCCCTCTCTTTTCTTGATTTTCGATTCTCATTCTCGATCTACGCATTCATACTAGTAGTCACCGGGTATCTCCCCACCACCCATACGATCTTCGATTTTTCTCTTTTGTTTTTCGATCCTTGTATCGATTTTCCACTCACAAAATGCCCCCTTGGAAGAATATAAATATTTGTATCAATTTTATTTTATATTCTTTCAAAATACTTCTTGCCCTTAAACATTCTGGAGGCCCAAAATAACTTTTAGGATTTTAGGGTTTCTCGGGTTTTTTCTGCTTTATGTCACCCATCAAATCACCTCCTTTCTGTTATCATACTGCAGCTGCCGCGTATTTATTACCCCCTTTTTCCCTCGCCTTTCCAAATACCCTAATCAGCCTCTTTAAGTACTTTTATCAATTTTTTACCCTTGTTTTTTACCACGAACCTCACTTCTCCTTCGTTGCATTTCTTCATCTTCAACCCTTCGTCTTCCTCTTCTCTACCGACTGTAATGGCGACCTCCAAATCTTCTGATTTCTCCGCCCTACCACTTTCCTCGGCGGCCTCCAACCTAATAGAGATTAACGGGAAGAAATTTGCTCCGGTCCCTTTGATGGAGGAAGCCTCACAAAGGATTGCCGAGACCCAAGTACTTATCCCTTATATTGCTGATATTGTAAATTATGCGTTTGGTGGTCCTATCCGCTACTGTAGCAGATCGTTTTCTTCTTCTCTCAGTCTTTCTTCAGAGAGTAAGACTCTTATCCATCAGTCTGAGGTTCAAATAGATTTTCTGAAAATCGTCTCCAAAGTATATCGAACAGACCCTCCCCACAAAAAACCCTTGTACATTAGGTAGTTTGACCGAGTTAAAACTAAGTTTGGGAACCATTGGAGGGATGTAAGGATCTTCGATTTCCTGCATTTGTCTCGGTGTGATCTATCGTTTTTAGATATGACCATGTTTTTATCCGCCGTTCATCTATGGAATAAGGATTTATATGCATTGGAACTTTCTTGTGGTCCCCTTTTGCCCACCCTTTTTGAAATTGCTGCAATTACTGGATTAAAGCCCACAGGGGACAAATACTATAAGGGTGCTTTCCCTTCGGATAATTCTTTAAGGTCCAAAATCGATTAGGAATCGAAGGCATATGGACATTTTCTCGAGAAACATTTTATCGATGATCACACAGTGACTGTTTCTGATGAAGAGCACGTGGCATTCCTGGTGTATTGGCTTTGCACCCATGTTTTTTGTCCTCGATCCATCCAGATCTCGTCCCACCTTTATAATCTTGTCTATCTTCTCCACACTGGCTAACCACGGATTTGTTTAGCAAAGTTGTTATTGGCCCATGTTTATACTTCTTTCGATGAAGCCGTCGATATTTTGAACACCCCTAGGGCCTCGGGGAATTTTTCAGGTCCCATTTGGTTAATTCAATTATGGCTTACCTCAGTTTTTGAAAGTATCCTCCCTCCAACATTCCCCCAAGTTTAAATTTGGAAGGTGCTCGATTGTCCATTCGACACTCTCACCACAAACCCGACGAGACTAGTTATCATAATTACCTACGATTTTTGTTGACTCGATTTCATTTTGAGTCGAACTTGGCCCCCTTCACCGTATATCAAGGGAAAGTAAGTGACAAGTTTCGAGGGCCGGTATGGTTTAAGTCAAAATTCCCTGCTCTTACTCCCGGGTTACAATAAGAATTAATCGAAGTGTGGAGTAATTACCTAACCCAAGATGTTCTGGTATCGGGTTTCCAATCGAAGGATCTTCAACTCGTCACTTATTATCCCCAACTTTTCTCGCGGCAGTTTGGTTTGAGTCAAGCTTTACCCTTTTTTCCCCTCGATACCTCCTCAAGGTCCAAATTAAGTGAATCGACTGTTGGATGGGAGCTTGCCAAGCTGTTGCCAAAAAACCCGATGCATTTTTACCCTTATACTTTTGAATCGAACTATTTATCTACTCTTGGTTTTTCTCAGTGGTGGACCGATTGGTTTTCAAATATTCATTCTAATTTTGACATAGTCCAATCCAAATTGACTGCTCGTCCTTATCTCGTGTTGCAGGACAAATCGAAGGCGAAAAAAGGTACATACTCTCACTATCTTCAAATATCTCGATTCAAAATTTTTTATCGAGCATGCTACAACCCCTCGAAATTAGAAGAGACCTTTTATGATGTTGTTATTTCCCTAGTCAATAAAACAGACACTAACCGATCAAACCACAAAATAATCAATCCTCGAGGCAAAACCTCATTTGAAATGTATTGTCCTAACCATCTTCCCACTTTCCCTTTAGCCCCTTTTGGACTAGCCAAACCTTTAACTCATCCTAAAT